CCACCTGCTGGCCCTTAGGATCACCTGGGATCTTTGGTGGTTTCTAGCCTGTGCTCTACCAGAACCCAGGCTGCCTTTCAAGGTCTGACAGGCAGGAACATGGTGCAGGAGGAGCTGAGAGTTCTACATCTTCATCTGAAGGCTGTTAGTGGAAGACTAACTTCCAGACAGCTAGGATGAGAGTCTTAAAGCCCACACCCGCAGTGACATGACACACCTACTCCAACAGGGCTACACCTTCTAATAGTGCCACTCCCTGGGCCAAACATAAACATCACACTGTTAAAGTGCTCTTAGAACCCCAGTTCTTTATAGCTTTGTTGACTGCAACATACTTCTCTTTGTTAGGCTGGCCCATACCCTGTTAGCAGGCTCTCTTTGGCAGGTGTCTTAGTGTCCTTCTACTGTGAAGAGATACCATGACCAAGGCAACTCTTATTTGCTGCTGGCTTACATAAGGTTAAGAGAGTCAGTCCAACAAGGACACACCTCCTAATAGTGCCACTCCCTGGACCAAGCATTTACAAACCATGACAGCAGGTATCCCACAACTCTGCTATCTACGTCATCTTTGGGTTCCCCAGTTAATCAGCATTCACCTTCACAGCTTCATGCAATGGCCTTGCAGGGTCTCCTCCGCCACACACCAGACTTCAGCAGCCTTTCTTTATTATGGAAGAAGATTTCTAGACCCTTCTCCTGTGTCATTATTGATTCTAAAGTGAGAACCACACAGCTGCAGCTGCTGAGGTTTTCTACTTGTTGGGGCTAGAGCCTGGGCCCCTCCTTGACTGCATTTGCATGAGGTTTTCCTTGTTGATGGTTTCTTTTGCTGCTCAAGCTTTACTTAACCGTTTCCACAGGTTGGAAGCTTAGCTTGCTGCAAGGTTTACCTTTCAGATGCCACTGGCTTTATTACATTTCGCTTCAGGCTTTCCTTTACAGTTGTTACCTCCTTGAGTACTGGACTCAGCTCCAACATTACATTTCCTTGTGTTCCTTTTTTTTTTTTTTTTTGTGGTCATTTGAATAGGAATGGCCACCAGAGGGCCATGTGTTCAAATGCTTGGACCATATTAGGAGGTTAAATGTTGGAGTGGGCATGGCCTTGTTAGAGGAAGTGTGTCACTGTGGGGGTGGGCTTTGAGGTCTTCTATGCTCAAGCTACACCAACCCAGTGTGGCTCACAATTACCTTCTGCTGCCTGTGGGTCAATATGTAGGACTCTTCCCTCTGTGCAACAAAGTGTTTTTTCTCGTAAGAGTTACCTTGGTCATGGTGTCTCTTGACAGTAGTAGAAACCCTAAGACACTCCTCAGATTGTGCATTTTGTATTTGGTTTTCCCATGTTTACTCTTTTCATTGAAGATATACTTAAAACCAATTACTAATAACCACACCCTCTGCCAATGCAGTTAATCCAAAACTCTTTAATTTAGCCTAAGACAAAATTTTAGGACAAGGGCAAAAAGCAGACACATTTTATGCCAGAATATCACAAGAATGGTCTCTAGGCCAGCTGGTGGTATTTTTCCGTTTTAAAACGTCTTGAGCTGAGCCCCCACAGTTCACATCTCCCACGGCCACTATTTTCTATGCTATTACTAGGATGGCCCAGTAAGTCCTGCTTAAAGCGGTCAGCTGTTTTCCTAATCCAGAGTCTACAATCCACTAGCAAGTAGCATGATCCAGCCTGTCGTAGCAGTACACCACTGGTACCAACTTCTGTGTTGCTGTTGTGTTGCTGTGAAGAGACACCATAACCATGACAACTTTTACAAAAGAAAGCATATGGTTGAAGGCTTGCTTCAGTTTCAGTGGATTAGTCCATTGTCATGGTGGGAAGCGGAGCTGCATGCAAGCAGGTGCTAAACAGTAAGAATTAGCTCCTGAGGCAGAGTTTAAATAAATAAGACTGGGATTTTGAAATTTCAAAGCCCACCCCCAGTGACATAACTCTTCCAACAAAGATCAATGCCACAATTCCTAATTTTTAAAGTAGCGTACCAACTGGGGACTAAACAAATATATGATCATCTGGAGTCCAGTCTCATTCAGACCACACCACCACCCAGCTTGTTCCTCTCTCCTCCCTCCTTCCTTCCTTCTATCTCTCTGATCAAAAAAAAAAAAAAGTACAACACAGCAAATAAAACACCCACACAACATGGAGTCTATCTGTGGTAGCCAAGTACTCCTGGGCATTAGGCATGTCCCGGAGTGTATGTCTATCAAGACTCCAGAAAACTGACTTCCCCACTTTCCTAGCAGGTGTCAACTTCACTTCTTGGTTACAGCTAGAACTTTGAGCCCACTTCCTCATCTCTGTGCTGGTTTTGTCTGGCTGAGGTCTTGTGCATTTCTGACACAATCTATGAGTTCATGTGTCATAGTCCAGGTGGGACTGGAAGGTGCTGTTTCCTTGGTATCAACTGCCACCTCTAGCTCTTAAAATCTTTCAGTCTCTGCTTCAGTATAAATGTCTAAATCTTGAGGAGGGATGTGAAGATGATACCCCACTTAGGACTGAATGCTCTAAGAGCGTTCTAGGGTAGTTTGTCCTAAGAGCGTTGTAGGGTGGTTTGTTGTGAATATTTGTGTTAATACCCATCTATTGCAAGAAGTAGCTTCTCTGAGAGAGTTAAGGAAGGCACTGATCTATGCATGTAGCAAGCTGTCAGTAGTAGTAGTTTATTGTAGTGTTCCTGTAGCACAGTAACAACAATCGCTTTCCCTCTACGTTTGTGACCTATCTTAGTCTCCAGTTTGGGGCCCATTTAGCAGTCTCAAGATATGAGTCTCAAAGCTAATTTTTTTTCAAACGTGGGTGATTATTCCCAAAACATTTTGGCTACTGTTGCCCCCGTACATCTTGGAGGTAGGTCACTGGGTTTGTAGCTGGGTGACACTGATGATTAGATTTCCTCCTCTTATAGCATGTTGTCTTAGGTAGTTTTCTGTTACTCTGCTAAGAGGCTATGACCAAAGAAAGAGTTTATTTGGGGCCTAGAGTTTCCGAAGGTTAGATTCCATGACCATCATGACAGAGAGCATGCAATCATCCAGGCAGGCATGGAACTGAAGCCATCTCAATCCCCAAGGTCATGTGGGCTCGTGAGCATACACCCCCCCTACACACACACACACACTGAGAAAGTTGTGAAATTTTGAAGCCCCAGAGTCCACCCTAGTGACATGCCTCCAACAATGCCACACCACCTAAATCCTCTAGTCTTACCAGCTGGGAAGCAAATATTGAAATATATAAGCTTCTGGGGGCCATTCTCATTCAAACCCCCATATATGCAAAGTTCTTCCAGCACCATGAATGCTCCTCAATAGGGTTGGGCACCAGCTTGATTTCTAATGTACAATGACATTAAGTGGTCTCTTCATGAGTAGGGCCTTACCATCAGGCTGTGGAAGGTAAGCATTAGCCTGTGACAGTAAGTTGTTTATTTTACTCTTCTCGTTCTTTCATTGAGTCTAGACGTTGATTTTCACAGTTCTCTGATAAAACAGTATTTCTCAAGGTGACTTGCTTTGGCCACCTTACATTTGTGTGTTTTAAAACTGTAACTACAGATTAGGACATTCCACTGTGATTTTTCTAGCACTCCATTTCATTAAGTAATGGCTTGACTATATGGGACATTTGGCAATGCCTGAAGACATGGCAAGATTTTGCTTTGAAATGGGCTAAAGGTGTTCCACTAGATCTCACAGGCAGTGGCTGAGAGCACTGTTGAACTCCGTACATGACACAGGACAGCATCAGTCTTCTGATGCAGAGAATGAGTATTGGTGTAAGACAGATCCTACCCCAGCCCCGTTATCGTGTTCGTTCTTGTTTCAAGGTCAGTAAACTTAGTCTGAAGTTTGTTTGATTGGAATTGGAATATGTTCTTAGTCTCACAACTGACCAATTTTTTGCAGTTCAGTGTTGGAACACATCATTCTGTTTATCCTGAGAGGACGAACATACCCTGGATACTGAATGGGACCACTGCTGGTCTGCTGTAGTGTTTCCTTTATGGTTTCCAGGGAACATCAGCATGCCCCTGCGCTCAGTCTTCGCTTTGGTAAAAACCAGTTTGTAGCCTGGCATGGCAGTACATTCCTGTGCTTCCAGCACTTAGATAAGGCCTCACTACATAGCCCTGAATAATGTGGAGCTCACTGGAATCAAGCTGACCTCAAACTAAGAGATCTGCTTGTTTCTACATCTTGAGTGCTACAATTAAGGCACCAAAAACATCTTTTTTTCCTTTTGGAAATACAGGCTGAATTTTCATTATTCTGTAATAAGGCATCAAAAGCTAAGATTTCATGTTAGCATTCCATTTTAGCTGAATTTGACAACTTTTGATATTCAACACTCATAGATACTTTTTTGACATATAAATTAGGTGAAAGTTTTTCTACTTTAGTTAGGACACCTTTTAAAACCATAGTGAATAACAGGTCTGAGTAAATTGTGAACATGCAATTATAATTCTGGTACTCTAAAGGCTGAGGCAGGAGAATCACAAAATTGTAGAGATTTTGATACATAGTCTGAGCTGGCACGAATTCATGCTGTCATCTCAGCCTCTCCTGTGCTGGAATTAAAGCCCTCCCTGTCTCACTCTAGTGTTACTCTTGGCTGATGGTTATCCTCACTAAGGAAGAAGCACCCTGCCTTGTGCACTCAGGCCCAGTAGCCCTGACTCCTGCTGTTCTCTCATGCTACCACCATAAAATTAATTGCAATTTTGGTTACACTGACATAGGATGGAATTTCTTGACTTCCTTCTGGCCCATGAAAACAGCTCCTACCTACCCCTACATGCTGCAGGAACACCCTGTTCCAAATACAACCTGCATGAAAGATAAGTTAGGACAGCTTAAGATTGGAATGTCATTTGGTAATAGCAAGAACTAGAAGAGTGTGATTAGCTTAACAATGAAAGTCACCATTTACTGTGAAAAGCAAAAAGTGCAATTTCTTTTATTCTCAGAGCCCATGGGCAGCATGTCATCCATGGAAGTGAATGTGGATGCTCTGGAGCAGATGGACCTGATGGACATCTCTGACCAGGAGGCTCTCGATGTCTTCTTGAACTCTGGCGGAGAGGACAATATTGTGATGTCCCCTGGTGTGGGTAAGAGTAATGACTCTACTAAAGTCACCTCTCATAAGCCCAGCTTCTTCCATGAAGCGCTTTTTCATATGTAGGAAGTAGTGAGGCAGATGAACACAGGCTGTTCTGACCTGTGTTCATGGTCCCACTGCCTCCAGTGGGCTGGGCTCAGGTCCAGAGATGGCACTGGATCGGGATGTGGTAGCTCTCTTGTATGGTTCACACACAGCACAAGTGGAACTCCACTTCTGACCCTGAGATTCCATGTTCACTGAGCATGTTCTTAGGACTTACCCCGAGGGCTTTCCTCATGAGGTCCTTTTGTTTGTCAGCACTGCACAGCCAGCTCCTCAGGTTCTTTCACATACTTGAGAAAAGGGCAACCCTCAGACCTTAGCCCACAGTACTGAGGGTCCGATTCATCTAACTTCACCCTCCTCTCAGCCCTTTGCAGAGCCAGGAATGATTTAGTCACAGTGACTGGCTATGTGTGAAAATCTTGATTCCCTGAAAATCCTTGTAAAATTGGAGAATCCTTGTAAAATTGAGAAGGCCAAGTAATTCATCTTAGCACCAGTAGACAGGAATTGGAAGGAGCTACAGGGTCATCTACGGGTTGGTGCATAATTTTACCATGTGCCCTTACCCTTTAAACAATGTTTATAACTGGACCTTACGTGGCTTTAAAGACTTCTTGGTCTTACCCAGCATCACAGTATAGACTAGGTGGTCAGCCAGCTTGTTAACTTGTGGCCCCTGAAACTAGGCTGTGGGACACGATCTCAGACAGTTGTCCTCAATAGCAGTTCCCAACTGCAGTACCTCAATCAAAGGTCTTTTCTACTTTCTTCAACAGAGATGGAATCCAACCCCAGTCAGAATGAAATGAGTCTTCAGATTGCAAATCCCTCAGAATCAGCATCCCAGCCACCTGCCTCCTCACCCTCTGCCTGCACTGACCTGGACACTGCTGATGCCCCCCTCATCCAGGCTGATGAGGAGGAGGTACAGGTAGACACAGCCTTGGTCACATTACACACTGACAGGAAGTCCACCCCAGGTGGCAGTGATGACAGTGACCAGTGTGACTCAACTCAGGACATTTAAGTGACTTGTCAGCTGTGCGCAGAGTCCTCCTGCAAAGTCAGGTGCTTAGAGGTTTTTGATTTGATACAGTTGCTAATGGGATGTGAGACCCATTAGAGAAGTGCTCACAATAAAGCTGATGGGAACACTGTGCACAGGGGAGTATCTGGGTTGTACAGAAGCCTCTGCCTTGACAGCTTCTTACAGTGGATATGACCAAGAGTTCCTAAAGGAACATAGGTGTGAAGGGCCACTGGAGATGGGACAGAAGGAAATAGGTCCTAGATCAGGCTGTATGGAATTCATGCCCTACCATAATGGGAGGTGGAGTCTGTTAGCATAACCCATACTGGTCAAATTGGGATCTGAAAAACTTAATTTTACCTATCATCATCAGGTGAAAACATGGACCTCAGCAGAAATAAACTTGAAGCAAAACAATTTGGCTTGCCCTCTGAAGGTCCCCATGGCACAAGCTAGAGTCACAGCAGAGTGGCTGAGCAGTACCATGGATGTACTCCACTCCCTGGCCGAAGAGAGGACTTGCAGCCTCTGCCCCACTGACCCAAAGAAAGCCCAATTCCTTTCCACAAGACAGACAAAATGTCCAAAAAACTTGTTTTTATTATTAAACCTTGAGTACAAACCTGAAAAGTAAACAAAGAACTGGCAATAAACCACACAGAGCCTCCCTGCGGGAGGGGTGCAGAGCAGCGCTAATAAATTAAATGTCAAACTGTAAGCCATAGGCGAAAGTTTACTGTCAAAAAGAGGGAAAAGTACACAGCAAGGCCATAAAAACTGGACAACCACATTGGAAAACACTCGACTGTTAGGTAATCATTAAATATTCCAAAACAGTTCCGTCTTCTGCAACAACAACCACCAAAGTGGATCCTAGGACGCTCCTGGCAGTCACCACTGGCAAGCTCAGTGCAATATGGGTAGCTACGGACTGATCCAATTATGAAACAAAGAACAGCTTGTGAAAACAGTTTCCCTTTTTTATTCCACACATACTGTACACACAACCGGAGAAGGGCAACAGCTACTCCATTACCATGTTTTGTTGTTGTTGAGTGATGTAAGCAGCACTTATAAATGTTACAAGAAAAACCCTGTAAGCATCCATCCAGCCGATGAAGAAACTGAAATGTAAGGCTTTTCTTCATCTTTTCTCACCCCTTCCCTCCCCCCCACCAAGAAAAGGCTCAAGTATTTAAAACAATTTACAGGAGTATGTACAAAAGGGATGGGATTTTTTTTCTTTTTTTTTCTTTTTTGTTAAAACATGAAGAGAAAAAATAGACAAGATGAGCACAGATGTGTTTTCACATTCAAAAAGAACTGCAGACTCAGTGGCTCTAAGTGTGAGGAAACAGAGGTTAATGCTGATGTGTGAGGGACACGAGCAGAGACGGAGGTGGAATGTCGGGAAATTGCACATGGATGACAGGGAAGCACTTACAGTCCACTGCTGTTTCCTTTTCCTCAAGGATGCTATCAAAGGGTTTTTTGTTTTTTGATAAAGTAGCCAACAGCACCAAAAAAAATAACAGAATGGATTTCCTAATGAAATCAGGCACAGGTCTCCCTCAGTGACCCTCCAAGGCAGGCAGTCTTTGTCTTTGTCCTCTCTCCCCCTCGAACGGATGCATAGTGATGTGCTGGTATGAGAACCTCGTCACTCAAACCTCACATTTTGCCTTCAGCTGCCATAACCGCCCAGCCAAACAAACGGGGCTCTCCGGTTCCAAAAGTTACAAACTCCCCTCGCACATGACAGAAGAAAAGACAGTCAAAGTAAAGCCATTTCAAGTTTTCTTTTTTCTGTATGTGTATGTGTGTGTGTCTGTGTGTGTGTCTTCTATCCCTTTTCCAATCTAGAAAAATCTCATCTGACTGATGGTTTTAAAATTTGTTCTCCAAACTTCACCCTCTTCAAAAATGGGTTAGAAAGCCTTTATTCCTCAACAGTTACCAAACAAAACAAAAACAAACAAAAAAAGGCTTTTCTCAGCCGTGGGGCGATACAAATTAATACAGCCCCTCAAAGGTTTTAGACAGTGAGTGTACGGCAGCTTCCAAACCTGACTGCAGTATCTAGATATCTACGTACAAAAACTTGAACAGTTTAATGCTAAAACAAAATCAGTTCTCTAAAACCAGAAGAAATTCTTCTTTAGAGCTAGTGCAAAGACAGCTTGTATCCTACAGCAAGTACTCCAAACTAGAATATAGTAATTACAAAAAAATATATAAGTGACCATGGATTCAGCATCTTCATGAGGATGGGAGCCGAGATGGCGGCACATCCACGGTCGCTCTCTTGCGGGGACCTCTTTTTGGTGTGGGTTTGTTGAGACAGTTCTCAATGCCACCGTGTTTGCCAGACACTTTGCCACATATCTGGTTGACCAAACTGATGATCTGCTCCTGCCAGAAGGACAGAGAGACAACATTAAGTTAGTGCAGCAGAGGAGTCCCAGGCGCCAAATCCTATGACTTCTCAGTGTGTGTCGATGGACATCAGCAGGCTTTCTAACTAGCTTTAGGGTTCAGAGGTGCAAAGGACTTGTGAACAGGGCAGGGGATGCCTACAGAAGCTCCTGGGGCTGATGAGACTGCTGAACCTCACACACATCTCCCCCTTTGGGCTCCCAGCACCCACTAACGCTCGCTCACAACTGTATGCTAACACCACCTCAAGGGATCTGACACCTTTGCCCCTAGTGTACTTGCTTTCACATGTATGTAACTCAAATGCCTGTTCTGCAAAAGAGAAACCACTGCCTATGCACTAGGAAGCAGACCATCTCCAGAAACTTTAATTAGATAGAGCTAGCGTAGGAGCTGAGGCTGCAAGCCTTCTCAGAGGGCCAATGTGACATGAAAAATCCAGAAATTAAGATCAACATCCAAATGTGAGACATTACAGCTTGAGGCTATGGTAAAGTTGTCCAGCATGTGACATCAGGTCAGCTATTTCCTTTTATTTCACCCAACAGAAGCCTGTAACTCTCTACCAAAATGTATCCAGAAAGAACATATTTCAGACCAGCCAGGGACACAATAGAAGGATGTCTCAAAAACTAGAGAGCACAGGCAGAAAACCTGAATCTCTGGTACCAGGAGTGAGGAATGAATGGAGACAGCCTGGACAAAAGACTCTTGAGGTTCACACAGTCAAGTTCTGCCTCTGAAAAGCCTAGAAGCAGTTAAAGGATATGACATAGTACCCTGCCTTCTCTGGGGAAGCCTTGGAGAAACTACATAATTTTGCCTGGCTGTCTTTAGGGAGCAAGGTTCTAACAAGTGGCCTGGGAGCCCTGTTCTTCCTGGGAGCTTCCCAGTGCATAGGAGGCAAAAAACAAAGAGTACAGGGGTGTGGGAGAACAGGCCTGGGAGCTCTAGTCTGTCTGTCACTGGACTTGAACTAAGAACTTGTGTTGATCCTACAGACTACATTTCTCAATCCAACCAGTTGAGCTCAAGTGAGGATTAGTGCTGACTGACTCTACTACAGCAAGCCTCTGGCAGAGGAGAGGCTGCTTCCTTATGCACTAGGTGACTTTTCCCGACTAGACATCAGACCATCAGCTGTGCTTTCAGGTCACAGTAAACTGTTGACCTACCTCACTGCTCAGTTTGTAGAATGTACTTTTAAAAGTGCTTTCACGCTGTCCTGATCATGTGCACAGATGTACATTCCCTGGCCCTGCCTGCTGCTAGCTCTGTGTCCTAGCTGGGGGCTTTGGAAGAAGCCCATAGTACAGAATGCTAGACAGTAATTCCTACTCATTGCTGAGATTTAATTTTAAGCACATTGTAATGTTTACTGTTCTTGTGACAAAGCAGGGACCACAGAAGTTATATTAATGCCATTGAACAAAACAGACTTACATTCTGCTTCCCAACCTTGTAACCCAGTCTCAGCAGACATGGGGCAAGTGTGTAAAGACATTGAAGGCACTTGGCTGTCTACCTGGTCAAGCTTCAGGGAGCACGGAACATTCTGTTGCCCCGAGTTAGGACTCAAAGGCAGAGCTTGGGACTACATGTGTGATGTGCTGCCCAGCCAGCTACAGAGCTAGAGAACACACAGTGATGGTGGACACTGTCCAAAGATGGTGCCTGAAGAAGGGCACCAGGTTGCCAAATGTGCAGCACTGGTCAGACCAGGATCAGCACATCCCAGCACAGGAATGTAAGCAGGATGGCTGTTTGAGATGTTCCTCCACCCAAAGACAAGTTTACAAGGACTGTCCAAAAGCATCTATAGAGCAGGAGTGAAACATCATGAATCTCAGTACTGGAGGGGGAGGGAGCGGCAAGGAAGTATATACACTACACCATAGCAGATGCTAGAAGGCCAACCAGGATGCTAAACAGTGTCCCACAGGGAGATCTCTTTGGACTGGGGTTCATTTAAAACAGCTGCTCTCAACCTGTGGCTCACAGCCCCTGTGCAGGGGTCAGGCAAATCTTGCTTATCTTACTAGATATATTACATAACAAAATTACAGTTAATACTTAGCAACAAAAATAATTTTTATAGACAATTAATCGTCACCACAACACGAGACGCTATTAAAGAGCCGCAGCATCAGGAAGGCTGATTGAGAAGGTGAGGGGAATGTGATATATAGAATTGGATGAACCCGAGGAGACAAGAGTACGGATCACACACAGGTACCATCTCCAGCAGCGGGCAGCACAGGAAGCCGTTTTCCAGGTCTGCCGGGGAGTTAGGCCCTCAGTGTATAAAGCATTCAACTATGAACACAGGCCATGAGGCCAATGCTGAGTGAGGGGCAGCCATGGGCAGTGGCAGGTGTCTACATCATGCAAAGAGCGATTCCCAGCACTGACTCAGTCTCACTTCAGAGGTGCAGAACCGGACTCAGTACTCAAATGATCCCTTCCCTGCCCCATCGGCATAAAGTCCACAGCCAAGAAAGTCCTTAAGGCAGCTCCTTCTGCATGTTTCCTGGATATACAGCAAGGGTCAAGGGATGCTGAAATTAATATTTCAGCAGCTCATGAGGCTGCCATTTCAACCACCCTCTATTCTAGGTCTAGAACCCAGGCCAATCACAGTACTCATTTCCTTAGTGGCTGGGACAGTGCAGATCCTGGGATAGAGAGCACTGCCAGTGGCTATACAAGGTCAGGAGAAGCAAGACATCATTCAGCAGCTAGGGGCAAGGTTAAGGAAGAGGTGACAGTAGTAGGCTCATGAGAAGTCAAGAAGTTGTCTAGCTGAGAAAGCCGGGAAGTAGAACAATCATAGCAGAGTTTCCATTTCTGGTAGTATAGCCACTAGGCAACCAGAGTGGTGCCAGAAATGCCATTGGTGGCAGCTTTCTCTGGCCCAACAGAATAGGCTCTGGAGCAAGAAGAAAACGCTCCGTGCAGAAGTAGTCCTGACGGCAGAAATT